CAAAAATTTCACCGCGCCCCTACACCTGCGAGATTAAAAAAATTGGAAAATGAGAGAAATATATATATTTTTTGAAATATATAGGGTGAACCTAAAGTATGGAACATATTCAATATAAATAAATGAAGGCGTTTTGGAAAAAACGCTTGGACACGTCGATTTTGTTTTTTTGCTTGAGATTTTTTCACACCAATTTTTTCATACAGGGTGTTCCAAGAACAGCTGTACGAATATCAACTTTTTTTTTCAAATCGTACAATACAGATATATTTCAAGTACAAGTCAAGTCAACATAAGAATGTAAGAAATGGAGACTTTACCTATGTGGATATACAGCGTGATTCCAAAATGGCGCATAAGCTCTCCACTACGTCGTGGGGATCCTTCAAGGATCCCTAGAAAAATACTTGAAATAATATAAAGTTACTCTTAGCAAAGTTAGAAGAACACGGAGTGGTAAAATTGGCATCATCTTGAATACTGCCACCCATATTGGATTATACCTCTATTCTAATAACGAACCTTATGCCTGGGTCCCTATTCTTGAAACAGGGGAGCAACGTTCCCAGGAGAACGAGTGTTCTGTCTTTGTCACTTATATTATCAATTGCATATCACTGAGAAAGACGGAACACTCGTTTTCCTGAGAGCGCTGCTCACCGGTTTCAGAAATAAGGACCCTGTCGTCATTTTATTATCTTTACCAGTACTACCTACCTAATTAATATTTTAGCAGGTAACGTTACCAGATTCATTTTTTGGATTTAGAGGTAGAGATTTTACAGTTTCTAAAATGTATTTTAAAAGGTAGAATCCAACTAATGTGATCTTTTTTGTCATAGATCAATAAAAGGCCTCTGGAACTTTATAGAGAATATCTCAGTTTAAAAAAAAAATCGGAAATATAGAAGTTGACTTCTTAACTTTACTCCTTCATATCACCAAGATTGGCCGAGAAGGATTTTTTTCACTAGTTTCCTGGAAATCCCTGAAGGGTCCCCTACTACGGAGTATGGAGAGTTTATGCGCCATTTGGGAATCACCCTGTAGATATATTATTTTTTATTTTTATATAAATTAGCGTCAAATGTGTAAAATGTATTTTTTTTACGGATTAAAATGATATTGTCATTGACATGAAGAACCAGGCCCCTTGAGGTAACTGGCCCGTGTTCCGCGGAACACTCGGAACACCGGTGACTACGCCCCTGCCTTAACCAAAACTTGTAGTAAGCTTGTCTTTAAATCTAACATTTTTGTGGTTTGATTCATTAAATTGTGAAAATTTGTTGTCATCTCCCTGTATCGTATTGAAACAAAAACTAGTACATTTGGGTTTTAGACCATTCTAGACAAGAATCTGCTATAGGATTTTTCCTAAAAAAATCCCTAATAGTACCTACTTATTGAAATTTGAGCCCATAGGTGTTGACACCCTGTACACCAGTACACAGGGCCGTAGCGATATGACTATCCCTAGGGGGGGGGGGGGGGAGACTGAGATCCGGCGCCCCCTAAGCGCCGCGAAGGCAATCCAAAGGTGAAGAAAAATTTATTGGTGACCACACCCAAATTTTGCCAATTTTAAGTAAATATGGGTATAATTTCATTCAATGAAAAATTAGATCAAAATGTTGTATCACTAAGGGCGGGTATTATAAAACTATTCTGATTTATAACTCAAAGTCAACTTATTCTAGAATTGCAATGAGAAGTAACGTCATTTCTGTCATTCCTGAAGTTAACTTTCAGTTATTCTGTCAAAATAGTGTTATAATAGGCAAGTTTTCGAGAGGATAACCAAGCACAATCTTTTGCTGGATTATGTGATGTGTCATTTGTGTCATATTGCCCTAACTCCCCCACCATCAAATTCTGGGATACTCGAGGATCAAGAACACTTAATTTCTTCTGTGAGAACAAACCGAAAATCACCTTTTCTACATTTGAAATTGACGAAAAAATTAACGCACTAGCACAGCCTGAATCGCAAGCATTCCATCGAGGTCTGCAGGTGACGTCATCATTATAAGCTGCTGGTAGTGACGTCACTCGCAGGCTCAGAATTTGATGGAGAGGGAGTTAGGGGAGTAAGACACAATTGACAAATCACCATTATCCAGCATACTCGAGTATGCTTGATTATCCTCGCGAAATATTGCCTAATATTCGCCCTAAAAACCTAGCTTATGTATTGAATGAGACTTTATCTATTGCCAATTCGATTTTCTGATTTTCTTAGATAGTTTCAGGTGAAAATAATAAAGTGTATATTGTAGATTTTCAAAATAAAAACACCAAACTTTTTGAGTGTTTATTTTGATTCAATTTCTTTGTTTTTTGCACTTTGCCTATTTTGGCGCCCCTTTGCCAGGGGCGCCCTGCAAAATTCGAGTAGCTATAAGACAAAAAAGAAATTAATTGAATCGGTTAAAAAATAAAAATTTTAGAAGGGTGATCAGTCCTTAAGCGGAACACACTTGTACAGGGTGGTCCAAATTGGACACTTTCTTATGGAAACACCCTTTATTTTTAGAGATAGAAAAAAATGGACCCGCCACTCTGAGGCTCAAATTTCATGAAATCTTGATTGGTGCAAACCGCACTTTGATATATTCAACCGTTTAGCCGCTAGAGGGCGATTCTCGATTTTGAGCAATATTGTGAAACGTTTTCTTCTTTAGATAGCGGGTAAAGGCAGCCAAACAAGTTTATTTTTCTAAAATAATTCTTTATTACAAACCAAGCTTTCGATACTTTTTTGTATCTTCTCCAGGGCTAAAATTATTAGATTTAAGTTAAAATTATAAAATTACAAAATTGTGACTTACTTGTAAATGAATTATTTAAAATAAAAACTGCATAGATAAGTATAAAATTTGTATAACGACTATAAAGTTAGAATTGTAAAGTTTTTTTGAAAAATTTTTTGGATGTTAAAACAAAGTCTTTTGTTATAGGTAAATTTTGTGCTATCTATGTTTAATTTTTAGTTTTTCATTTCTGGTTTTTTTATTTTTTTAATAGTTAGTTAAGGTAAAGGTTATAATTATTTTAGAAAAATAAACTTGTTTGGCTGCTTTACCCGCTATCTAAAGAAGAAAACGTAAAAAATCCAGCCGTTATCCCCAATCCTAATATTGTGAAACCTTCATAACCTTCATAACTTTTTTGTTTATGAAAATAATTGATTTCCGTGAAAACTTTCTAGAAGCACTTTCTTAAGCAGAATTCAGTGACGTTCTCAGTTTTTTTCTGTTTAACTTCGATGTAGAGATATTGACCAAAATTCGTTTTTTTTTCAATAGGACACCCTATGTATATATTAATAGCTCATTAAAAAGCTCTGCTTTTGCTGATTTCAATGATATAGGGTTCGATAGGTTTATCTCTAACGGCTTTCGGAAAAAAAAATATTTCGGTTTTTGTCATAAGAAACAATGTGTTAGAAAGAGACCTTCCTCAGTTTCCTTACAGAGACAAAGTCATTTTCCAACGCATTGTTTCTTATGACAAAAACCGAAATAATTTTTTTTCTCGAGAACTGTTAGAGATAAACCTATCGAACTTTATATTATTGAAATCAGCGAAAGCATAGCTTTCTAATGAACTATTAATATATAGGGTGTCCTATTGAAAAAAATCTAATTTTGGTCAATATCCCAAAATCGAAGCCAGACAAAAAAACTGAGAATTTCACTGAATTTTGCTTGTAAAAGTGCTTCTAAAAGGTCCTTACGGAAATGAATTATTTTCATAAACTAAAAAGTTATGGAGGCTTTACAGTATTGCTCAAAATCGAGAATCGCCCTCTAGCGGCTAAACGGTTGAAGATATCAAAATGCGGTTTGCACCAATCAAGATTTCATGAAATTTGAGCTTCAGAGTGGGGGGTCCATTTTTTTCTATCTCCAAAAATAAAGCCTGTTTCCATAAGAAAGTGTCCAATTTGGCCCACCCTGTACATAGGTACCTACCTATACATATACACATATGTTTTCCATTGTGCTCTACAAAATTAAATTGTAAGTACCTAAATATTTGATAGAATGTACTTTAGCATGTAAAATTGTAATCATTTACTTTCGTCACTAGTGACAAAAATTAACGTTATATGGAATATTCTATCACTAATGCCGGAAATGACGTTTTCGGATAGGGTAAAATATGATATGACGAAAGTTGTTAATTTTTTAATGGTCATAGAAAAATAGATTCTGTTGGCTCCTGACTAAATTTACCGGTTACATCATTAATTTACACTCTACGTTTTTTCTCACCTGAATGACTTCATATCAAATGGGCATGGGCCGGGGTATAATTTTCTACGTTAGTAGGTTTTATTAGTTATTTCTAGGGCAACTCAAAAAATATCTATAATATAGTTATTTTCCTAACAAGTGCGCAAAGTGATACTTTCCCGCACGAAAAAGCAGTTAGACGAACGACGCGAAGTGGAGTTCGGATAAGCTTTGAGTGCAGGAAAGACACTTTGCGCAAGTGTTAGGAACAATATTTTTTCTACGAGTATCTTAAAAAAGTAGACTTTGAATTGTTAAAATATTACAAAAATCAATCGAGTCAAAATCTCCAAAAATCGTTTAAAATCTATTGGAATTCCTCAGAATGTCTTTTAAATTGAATCCCCAAAAATCTTTTAACATCTTCTGGAATTTCGAGAATACCAGCTAGAATATTTTTATGAGAGTCTCTTAAATATCAAAAATTCTACAAATTCCTAGCAGTACAGGCTGGGTCCAATTTGGACACCTTTGATAGGATAGGTACATCATGTTAACTAAGCGCTAATTTCAACTAAAACCCTTCATTTTGAGTATTAGTTTATTCAGAAACCATGAAAACATTGAAAAATCAGGTATAACTATGGTAGTTATGCGTAACAAAAATGAGTGCGCAAAGAGTTTCCGTGCGCAAAGTTCAACTTTGCGCACGCAAATGAGTGTGCAAAGTGATTACTTTGCGCACGCAAGTAGAAAAAATTATTTTTCGATAAATGCCACACATTAGGTAGGTACCTACTCTTGTTTTCATTTTTAGATCAATTATTGAGGAAACTGATTAGTTAACACTTAGTCAAACATGTGTGATATTAATTCGGTTACAAAAAACGAAGAAGTTGTAACATTTCCGAATGATGGCTTGTCAACTATAGAAGAGCTCAGCCATGACCCACATGATAGATCGCATGGCTCTGTGACTTTGGACATTGGTAATAAATTATTATTTCCCTCAGTAAAAAGCATTAAATTTCCCTGCCAAGTTTCATTTAACCGGCGGTGAGCTGGAGCCGAATAATTTATTAATTTTTTTAATTTCTTTTGAGTGGCGTTACTATATTCTTTCAAATGATCAAAATGTTTTTCTGTTTCTCAGACCTTTCAAGTGAAGTTCCTACAACAGCTGTGGGTGACAGGTTTGATGATCAACCTCCTAATAAATCAGATAATTCCGATTTTGAAAAAGTAGAGGAACATTCTCCAGCGCTTTCATCCACCATTACCTTCGATGCAACAAAATATCCAAGTAAAACTAGCGTTAAAAAGAAAAGGAGCATTGAAGATGAAGCAGAAGTAGTAAAACGAAGGAAAAAACAGATCACGTTTGATAGTGTAACGCTGTTTTATTTTCCTAGACAGCAAGGTTTCACTTGCGTACCGTCTAAAGGTGGCTCTACTTTAGGCATGAGTACCCAACACTCGCAAGTGGTGAAGTTTTCTATCGAGGACCATGCCATCCAACAACGCAGGATACATCGACGACTGATACTGAAACAGTTGAAGTAAGCGTTCAGTTTTGTTACGAGTAAAATTTCTTTTTGTTTTGTGTTGCTTTTCATTTAGATGGCAACATAAGTATTATTAGTTTATGATTGGTCTCATGCCTAGATATATGACAAGACATCTCATCAACCTAATTATTCGATATTTATTTATGCTTATTTATTCCTAGTGGTATTTGCTAGTAGTCAGCATTCAAATGAAATTGGCTAGACCAGATATGTTACTTTGTACCTAAGTTAAATTTTAAGCATTGAAAAAACTTTCTAGAATAGATGAAAATGGCAGCGTTAGCGAAAATGAATTCAGTGACGCTTCATCAGAACCTGAATTCAGCAGTCGATATTTCCTACCAAGACTTACCCCAAAAAACAGACGTGCCCTCTTAAGAGCTGCTGAAGTGCGAAAAATCGACTCTTTGGATGAAGACGAATGCAGAGATCTCAGAGATTCCAGAGACAATTGTGGCTGCGAGTGTGAGGACTACTGTGACCCGGATTCGTGTTCTTGTAGCCAGAACGGTATAAAATGTCAAGTAGATTTTTTAAATTTCCCATGCGCTTGTACCAGAGAGAATTGTGGGAATACATCAGGTAGAACCGAGTTTAATACGGATAAAATGCGAACTCATTTGAAAGACACTTTATTGAGGCTGGACCTGGAAAAGACACAAGAAGATGTGCGAAAAAGTAATAAGGATATTCTTTCGAGTAAATGATGGATTGATGGAAGCTGTTGAGATACCAAAAATTTTGAGTTCAATTCAGGTCAGTAGTTATAAGTAAATCTGCACCTACTTGGCACCTGACATTCATTTTCCGATTTTATGATTAAATGTGCGTTTTTATTCTCATCGGTGGATTCACCGATGAGTTAGCTATCTTTGTTAAGTGAATGGAAAATGACAATGACCGACATAGAATGGTGGATCCATCGGTAAAATTTGATGAGAATAAAAACGCAGGGTAATATAGGCATTGATCTGTGTTTATTACTTTTTTTATTTCACCTTAAGTAGAGTCGATATGGTGGTTACTCATCACCCCCCACTCCTATGACGTCACGTTCCTGACCTTGGCCTTGGCCTTGAAAAATGACCTAGTAATGTTCTGACGTCACACGACCTTGGCCTTCTGTGCGACCTCGAGTGTGCGCAACCATGAGTTGACGCGTGGCCTTCATTTATCTGGGTACACTATTTTATGATAGGGTTGGCAGCATATAGAGAGTACATTTCTTGTTGAAACAGCAAAGAGCATCAACTATGGCAGATGAAGGTATTTCATGTGACATCGAAGGGAGGTGCTTCATCATCTCCTATTTCAGGCAACGAATTGATTTCCCTATCACCGGATTGGATCATAATGATCTGATAACGTGTAGGAGATGTTATGATTCGTGGCTTGGATGGCAGAGATATTTCGAAATGCTTAGATATGGAAATGAGAAGGTACATCGACATGTAACGGTATTTGATGGTGATATGATACCACCAGATCTTATACCTAAATGTCACCTTTGTTGTCATCCATGTTTCCTGATGGTGGATACAGTGGATTGTCTGATATGCCATATGTGATCCCTGCATACAAAAATTGGCCCTTTTCAGGGCCACAAAATACTTTGATTGTAGTTTAGTTGTTTTGGCCTATTTGCTTGTTTGTTAGTCTATGGTTTGTTAGACCTTTCGAGCCTATGGTAACCCCGCAAAAATCCCCCTGCAAAAATCTGATGGGTTAAGTACTTTGAATGCTGGTCCAAAGTGACAGTATGGTCTGGGACTGGGACCCCAAGAAGTTGGAAATCCTTGGTAATCCTTCTAAGAATAAGAGAATATCTTCATAATAAATTTCGAACCGTGAAAAAATCTACCATTTTCAAGGCAACAAAATATTCCCATAGTAGGTTGTTTGACCTAGACAAAATCAGTTTGACCTCGACAAAATCAACTTTTCACAGGGTAGTGAAATATTTTCATAGTATGATTTCATTCAACTACCAGTGACAACACGTTATCAATATGAAACCAACGGCTATTGTTAAACCCTATTCAATAAATAATGAACGTCTTTGCATGTTATGTGATACGCGTAGTGTTGAAATTAATGAATCGGGCTTCTGTAGTTTGTGCGCGACTCCGATTGTGAAACATTTGGTGCAAATTGCACGAAATTATTATGAAGAACAAATGTTTAGAGCTGCTCCACGATCAGTAATTTTGCAAAGGTGTAGAAACATTGCTCGGAGATTGGTTCTAGAAGAATTCAGTGAGCCTCAATATGTAATGATAGCCGAGAGCTTACAAGAGCTTCTGGAATCTTCATTGAAATATTATTATTCATAATAATTGGGCACTCCTGGGTTCATATTCAAAATTTTGAGAACCCCTGTGTTTGAAATGTTTCTTTCTCTCTTCCAATGCGAATGGAATTTAAAAAAGGGTGTACCCCTGTCCTATTTGATGCCTCTACATGGTTGAAAAAATATTTTGACCATGAAATGGACCGGTTTTTTTCTCGTTGTGTGTGGAATGTTAAAAAGGGCTTACACCTGTCCTTCTACCTGTCCCTGAGATGTCGACCTTGCTTTCGACGGTTAATTCAACCCTCAATCGTGGGTGTTTGGTGGGAGAAATTTTTTTTCGAAAGAATTTCTTCACTCTTCTTGCAGACCCAAAATTAGTTGTGACGAACAGTTCTTCATAAACGGTTTTTTAATTTCACGCGACTCGGGAAAAAAAAAAAAAAAAAAATGGATTCGCAATTCGATGCAATATATTTGGAACCGTCGGCGCAAGAATATATCGACGAAGAAATCCAGTCGGTTCCTGTGGATCTTCTTGACGACCTGTTGGATCGTATCGGGGGTGCGCAATTTTCATCCGATCTGCCAACCATCGAGCTTGGCGAAAATGAACTATTAGACGATGGTTGTGTGCAAATCGATGCCCTCGAAGATAAACCATCCAAGGACCTGCGGCCCGAAGATGACGATCCCCTTAATGATGGCTGTGACGCGGAGTGTGATGAGGCGATGGCCAATTTCCTCCACCAAGTTGAAGATGGGCAGCGGGATGGACGGGAGAAAGTGCGCGTTTTAACCAACGTCGTCATAAGGCCGCGAATCGTGAGCAAGCTGGAGAAGGCATTGACAATGCCTTCGAAAGTTGCTCGCAATAAGCGGATGTTTTATGAGGCGGTTGATGATGAGAAAGCAAGAAAACGGGGAAAAATATCAATCCCCGCCCATCCCGAAAAGCCTATCCCAATAATTGCGAATGTTGAGGTGATAGAGGGACCTGGTGTGGTGTCACAGCCATCACCCAGAATAATTCAGGTCGCGCCAGTGTCACAGCCCTCACCCACAATAATTCAGCTCGCGCCAGTGTCACAACCCTCACCCACAATTGAGCTCGCGCCAGTGGAAAGTGAAATGTCGCCACCGCCGCCGATATTTCCATCGGACGATAATGATGAAAAGTTATCGCCAATCATCGGCGGTGCTCAACATAGGAAACGGGTGCGAGCTATAAAAAACAATGTGTGTGTGGAATCCCCCATCGGTGTGGGTAAACATAGGAAATCATTGCGGGCTGTGGAAAAGATTACGGGTGTCGAATCTGAGGAATCTTGTGTGCCTACAGCATCCGCGGAATCTTTTCCACAGCCGGATTGGAGCGGGTTTACGCCATCACAGATAGACACTTTCACCCTCGCAAATGAAGCTGTGAGTGCGTTGAAAAAACAATTGTCGGATATGAATATTGCCTTGGAGAAACGTAGAAGTGACTTAGTGTATCACGAACAGAGCGCTTCGGAAGCCAGAAACGATATTATTGCTTCCAAAGCCGATATCTCCAAAGTGAAAAAAAACTTAGCGTTCTTGTCCGGGATTTTTACTTTTAGTGATAAGTAGTGTATTTTTTAGTTTGTATTATGATGTTTCTTTTTAAATAGTGATAATTAGTGTAGGTGTATATTTTTGTTAGCTTTAGGATGTAGATTTTTGTAAATACATGGGTTTTTGTTTGAAATTTCGTTTTCCCAACAAAAAAAAAAAATGAATGAGGTACTTAAAAGAGCTCAGTTCACGTCTGGTACCTTGTTACGGACTTATTCAATAATCTAATGCATTATCGAATAAGTCTAACAAAAAGCTCTTTAAAATTTTGTCTTGTGGATTATATAATAAAAATTGAAATGCCCAAAAAAATCGTTTTATTTCCCTATTAGGTACCCATTAGCAAATGCGTTTTTATCTTTTGTGAATAGTATTCACTGAATACACATAAAATAAATAACTATTTGTGTATTAAGAATGCGCTTCTCGATGTTGAAACTATAAATATTTCGTGCTTGCGATTCTGATGTTAAAAAAAAAAAACAGTTGCATCTAGGAAATTCTAACAAAAACTGTTTTCAAGGATATATTTTTGTGTTTGTTCGAAATGAAAACAGTTTTTGTTAGAATTTCCTAGATGCAACTGTTTTTTTTTACAGTTGTATCTAGGAAATTCTAACAAAAACTCTTTTCAAGGATATATTTTTGTGTTTGTTTGAAATGAAAACAGTAGTTTTTGTTAGAATTTCCTAGATGCAACTGTTTTTTTTTAACATCAGAATCGCAAGCGCGAAAAATCTATATTCTCAACATGGAAAAGCACACTATCAAGAGCGCAAAGTGATACATTGCCGATTAACTGAGTGACTATCTCATGAAAGCGATAATTCTACTTTGCCCTCGAATTACACACATTAGATTGTGAAAATTTGTACTAAACTAGAAAAAATTATCTTTACATTTTTATTTAAATTGCCTGTAGAAAAAGAACACAATCGCTGCACACTTTTTAACAAATGGAAATCGCTCCATCAGTGGTAACTTCACAAAATTTCTTTGTGACGTCACCACTAATGGAGTATCTAGAGTCGACATACAGCAGCTGGTGATTCGTTAATCAGATCATCATTTGCGAAAAGGTGGCTTAGCTTGTTAGTCAAATGTGAAAATTGTCAAATGCTGTCAACGACGCCAATGTCAACAATGTGTGCTTGCTAACCAAATCCACATCATAAAAATTAAAAATGCTTTATTATTGTTGTTGGACACACATTCTTTCTCAAACTCAAACTCGAAAAACGTTCTAAAATTGATTGCAGCGTACTTTCGTACACGATTAGATTTTGTACTAGATCTAGTACGAACGTATCGACACTGGCAACACTTGTACAACCATTCCACTCTTACATATCTCAATGTCAAACTATCGCAACCTTCAACAATGTACGACCTCGAGTTTGACAAATTCAGGGTTAATATTCCACAACCCTGGAAACTGATTATCAAGGATTTCCATTTTTTGTGGTATGGTTCCCTAACTAACCCAAAAATGATGTAAATTTGAATAATTCGCGGTTTTGTTCGCGGATGGGAATCGTGAATATGGTTTCGCGGCATGAAAATCGCGAAAATGGTTTCGCGGCGACAACGCTTCACGAAATCGCAAATGTAGAACATTGTTGAACCATGGGGGTACTTGGGCCTGGGAAATTTTTCGATATCGTGGGAAAATCTCTTGATCGGCGTACACCTGCGATCTGAATTAAAAAAAGCAAAAACCATTCAAGATTGCTTCGATTACGAAATTACACGTCGCATTGTTTCTTTATTGGTGAGATTTTTAACATTGAAGTTTATCAACAAAATTAGAGAAAAATA